CAGTGACATTGAGTATTTTCTCACATGCTTGTTGGCCATTTGAATGTCTATTTATTTATTTATTTATTTATTTTTTTAAAAGATTTTATTTATTTGAGAGAGAGAGAGAATGAGAGATAGAGAGCACGAGAGGGAAGAGGGTCAGAGGGAGAAGCAGACTCCCCGCTGAGCAGGGAGCCCGATGCGGGACTCGATCCCGGGACTCCAGGATCATGACCTGAGCCGAAGGCAGTCGCTTAACCAACTGAGCCACCCAGGCGCCCTGAATGTCTATTTAAAGAAATGTCTATTCTAGTCCCTAGACTGCTTTTAATTGGCTTATTAGTGGTTTTTTATTTTTATTTGTTTTTTTATGTTTTAAAATTTTTTATTGTTATTAGTGGTTTTAAAAAAATTTTTGTTATAGGAGTTCCCTTTATAGTTTGGATATTAACCCCTTATCATATATGTGGTTTGCAAATATTTTCTCCCCTCTGTAGGATGACTTTTGATGCTGCTGATTGTTTTCTTTACTGTACTGCGCTTTTCAGTTTGATGTAGTCCCCAGTGTTAATTTTTCCTTCTGTTCTGTGGGCTTTAGATTTCTCATCAATGATAATTCACAAGTGCTCTCTTTTCAAAAAAAAATAACTTTTAGGGGTGTCTGGGTGGCTAAGTGGGTTAAGCGTCCAACTCTTGATCTGGGCTCAGGTCATGATCTCAGGGTCATGAGATTCAGCCTTGCTGGGCTCAAGGCTGAGCTCAGAGCCGGCTTAAGATAACCTCTCTCCCTCTTCCTCTGCCCCTCACCCTAGCTGGCATGTACTCTCTTTCTCTAAAAGAATAAACAAACAAAAAACTCTTAGTTTGTTACTTTTTCTATTGTTTTGCTATTTCTGCAGTAATCTTTGTTATTTCACTCCTTCTGAAGACCTTGGGCTTACTTTATTCTTTTCCTAGTTCCTTGAGCTGTAAGTGGGAATCTTTTGTTGGGATATTAGACCTTCATACATAGTTCCTAGGGGGGTATCTAAGACAAAGGAACACTTTTATTTAGGAAACAATGCACTGAAACATATAAAAGATATATTGTTAAAAAGTTTAAGATATTTGTATGTGTAGGTATGACTCCAAGATTGCTTTTTGTGATACATTTCATTTAATAAGATACTACAATTGACCCTCCTAGTAAATAAGTGTGATGTTCGTAAACAAGAGAGTTGAAGTCTCCCTTGATGCAAATTTGCACTTGATTTCTTGTGCAGAGAACGATTATACACAATTTTGATGATGGTTTCTTAACTTCTCTTTTTTTTTTTTTTAAATTTTTTTTTTATTGTTAACTTCTCTTAATGTGTTTTTAGAGGAATTAGAATTGTGCACTTTCAATTGTTCTTAAAGCATTCCCAGTTGTGAAAGAATGGAGACTTGAGGGACCACTGATGAAAATGTGGAAGCTGTTATTCACACTCGTTTTTATCCTGTGCTCTATCAAGATGTGGGATTTGCTTAATTTTACTTTCATCCTTTTCTGTAAATCTCAGTTTCTTCTTGGTATTTCATTTCTTCCAGTTTTCTTCTCTTTTCTATTGGAATATTAAATTTTTTAACCTCTGTCTTTCCTTTCTTAGATCTTCCCTTTGCAGGAGTTCCCTTAGTTTGCTAGCTAGGTGTTCTCTCAGACAGCTTTGACTTCTTTTTCAGCAGAACTGACATTCCTTGGGATCTCTCTGGTGGGTGTGGTGGCGTTGGCAGGCGAAGAGGGATCTTTAGTCTTTGCACACAGAGGCAGCAGTAAAATCCCATCCTATCTGCTCATCTTTCTGGGCTGTTTTCTTTTAGGTTTGTCTCCTAAGCAATATGTAGCAAGATTTTAAAATTTTGGTTCGATCCAATAATTTCTTTTTATCAATGTTTTCATTATTGATGTATTTGAAGTCATTTCTAATATTTTGGTTTTGCTTCATATGCTTTTGTTTCCTTCTTTATTTTTCTAGGCTGTCTTCTGTTGCACTGGTAGAATTTTCTTTCTGTTCTAATGACAAGTATCCTTACATTGTGTGTGTTTGTGCTTGTGCAAGTGTGTACAATTTTTATATGTCTAATTTTATTTTGTAACATTTTCTCCTCTTATATACCACTCCTTTTCCTTGGGTGTGTTTTTTCTCTTGCTGATTTACTATATTTAGAAAACCTCAGTGTCTAGCTGGAGCAAACTGTCACTTACGTTCCTATCAGGACAGTAATTTCAGAAAGAGTTCACCAAAAGAGCTGATAAACTACAGTTGCAATGCACATTAAGAAAAATAATAGAAAAAGAAAACCATCCAACACAATAATCAGAACAAGTTCTCCCCATTCTTCCTCAGACCCTTTGTCCCTGACTTTCCTTTTCTTGGAGTAATTTTCACCTAGTAGGCTCATGGCTTGTTCCTTCAGTTCTTCCTAGTCTCTGCTCCTAGAAAAACGTGTTCATAGTGAAGAATGCTTAATACATTTTATTGCAGGGTAGTATTCATATTTAAAAAAATCATCTTAACTATTACTCAGGAGAGTAAAGGATGTATAAATGGAAGTATATCCACAATATGGAATATAGTGGTACAAGGGATGTATATGGGTTAATATACTAAGACCTACAAAATTTACTATTGAGTTTATAAAGGAAGTTACAGAAAGGTATACCGAAAATGTTTATTTGTATTATAACAAAGTATAAATAAAATACTGTCCGTTTTCTGGTTATTGAAATCTAGTAAAACACCTTGAAACATCAACTCCAATCGTACAAGATGAAGAACGACTTAGGGTAATAAGTGACAAAAGGGCCAGAATTGGGAGTGGTAATAAAAGGGATTTTAGTCTATAGGTAATGTTTTATTACTTTTAATAACTCATATATTCAAAATTCCTCCTATTGTTAGAAGTCATAAAAGCCATCATAAAGGTTTATGTGTATTCTCTTCTATTCTTTCACCAGAAAGGGGAAAAGAGAAAATGATCACATTCTTCATAAAATTTTGTAAAATGACCCAAAGTATAAGCATTTCTACCTCCTCTGGGATCAGATAGTTTTTACCTTTCACGCTCCTTAGGGTCCTACTCATTGATTCTATTAGTTATATACATTTTTGCCTCCCCTGTAGACTGTAAACTAGTATATTATCCACTTTTATGTATTATTTTAAAAAATTCATTCATCCCCTCACTTACCACTTTTATTTAAATTCCGGTTAGTTAATATACAGTGTTAGAGTAGTTTCAGGTGTACAATCCAGTGATTCAACACTTCCACAGAACACCCAGTGCTCATCAGGACAAGGGCACTCCTTCATCTCCTCGCCTATTTAACCCATCCCCAGCCCTCTCCCTCTGGTAACCATCAGTTCTGTTTAATTAAGTGTCCGTTTCTTGACTTATCTCTCTCTGTCTTATTTTTTCTCTTTCCTTATTTGGTTTGTTTCTTAAATTCCACATGAGTGAAATCATATAGTATTTGCCTTTCTCTGATGACTTGTTTCCCTCAATATTATATTCTCCAGCTCCATCCATGTCGTTGTAAATGGTGAGATTTCATTCTTTTAAATTGCTGAATAATATTTCATTACTCTTTTATAAATTCTTAGATCTAGTAAATTATCCCACTGAAACTAAAGGCTCATTAAGTAATTACGGATTTCTTTTGAACTAAGGTAATGAAATCAAATAAAGAGCACAAGGTGAGATTTACCAAATTATTTTCTGATATCAATTTCCGTACAATTCCATTTTAAAAGTAGGATTTGGTTCACTTGTAATCCCCAGTCAATCTAAGCAGGTATCTTCTTTTCTGACCATCTGCATCACCTTCATCAGAAAGTTTGGAATGAATGGGGTTGGGGGCTGTTTCTGCTGAGTGGCTTGGTCCGAAGTGGTCTTTGCTGACCTCTTCAGTCCTCTAGGGGGCACTCTAGACCTTAAAAGAAACAAAGACCGATGGTGCAAGGGTTGAACAGTTAAAGAGAGAACAGAAATCACGTGAGCCAGTCCAATTATAGATAGCAAAGGTTAGGGGCAGGGTTTGTGTAAAGTTCGGTTCAGGTTTTCAGTTCTGCTGTAGCATATCAGCTTCAGACATCTGGAGGCCATGTCTCTAGAAATTCATTATGCAGATAATTCTTCACAGGTAGCAGAATAAGATTATTTCTGGGCATTGTGAGCATGGACACTCAACAGAAAACATCCCATTACCTGTTGTCAGTTGTTATGAATAAAATCCCCCAAATTTACTGGTCTTGAAATTATTTCAAAATCCCAGGTATCTGACCTTTTATGTATCTCTGCTGAGAGTGGAGGGGACAAGACTGAAGAGGAGAAGAAAGGAAAAAATAAGGAAGAAAAAGAGAAGGAAATGGAAAGGACAATATTGACTGTGACCAGCAACGTGTGGCCTGGGCAGACTCAGCTGGGTGGGTGAGCAGGGTCCATGAATTGCACAGGAGGAGTGGAGAGGTGAAAGTTAGAGGACAGTATGCAGACATTTATTTTTCGCCAACCAAATTCTGATTGCAGTAATAATCTATGCAGATGGTGACTGTCTGTCTTGGTTTCTAGAACTGTCTTGATTTCAAGAAATTGTGGTTACTTCAGCAATACAAAATGCATGCTATCAGTTTGTTTTCCTTTATCAGTATTTGCATATAATCGAATTCTCACATTGTCTGTCAAACTGTGCAAATTGGGGAATGGAGACACTCTTCGCTATGATTCTTCAAGGTTTTATGTAACCCCCATTGGGCCCTGACTCTTCTAGAAATATCATTTACCTTTCCTCACACACTAACCCACACATGTCTTACATAAAGTGTTTCAAGAAAAAAACCCCTCTTATCCTCCTATATTGGAAATATTGCCCCTACCTGCCTGCACTGTTGGCAAGCACAATTTTGGAGAGATTACTGTGCAGTGTCCTGGGTCACTGTGGGTGGAGTCTCGAGGTCCATAAATGACAGAGCTGAGGTGTGATTGGTGCTCAGTGATTCTGTTGGAACGGTATGACTGTAAGACACAATTTCTCTGAATCCAAGACTCTACACTCTGCACGGTAGGCAGAAGTACCTCATCAACTAGACAAGGAATTATGAAGAGACGCTGGCGAGCTCTTCTGGGGCTTCTGTGGGTCCATGTTTGCTGTGAGTATAGATTTTCTCAGGGTACTCGGGTGGGGTCCACAGCCCACAGTGGTGGGGGGAGCTGACACTGAGCTCCTAGAGGGTCCTACATCCTCTGGGGTGTGTCTCAGGATATTTTACAAATTTGGAAACTGCATCAGTGACCCCCTAGAGACATCACTTGTGTTTGTTTTTCCCTTCCCACGCAGGGGTGAGAGGGATGGAGGTGGAGCAGAGCCCTTCAGCCCTGAGCCTCCAGGAGGGAGCCAGCTCTACTCTGAAGTGCAATTTTTCTAGCACTCCAGACAGTGTGCAGTGGTTCCAACAGAATTTTGGAGGCAGTGGCCTCACCCGGCTGTTTTACATAACCTCGGGGATGAAGCAGAGTGGAAGGTTAAACTGCACAGTGAATACTAGGGAACGGTCCAGCACCCTCCACCTCCTAGACTCCCAGCTGGAAGACTCAGCCACCTACCTGTGTGCGGCGCAGACACAGTGCTCCCTGGTGATCTGCAGCCTGCACCCAAACTGCAGCTGGGCCTGCAGCCCCAGCCCTTCCCTGGGGCAGGCATTTGTCCCCAAAGCAGGCATTCCATTTTTCAGATATTCAGATTAATGTTACAGCATGTTTTTCCTCCTAAAATTAGACCCCTCAGGGCTGTCACTTCACTCACATTTCTTGCTCTTTTCTTTCCCAGAAAGTCCTTTGCAGGTAAAAAGCTCTACCATGGAGCCGCTGGAGCAAGTGCCTGAGACGCCCATAGCCAATGCCCTGGGAAACCAGATCTCCCGGCAGCTAGCATATAAATTATTTGTACGTAGTCAAATGGAAAAGGTTCTGAAAATTAGATGGTCTTCAACAAATAGAGATGACTGAATTTTTTAGTTACTGTAGATGGTTTTATTTTCAAAGAATAGTAAGGATAACGTGTATGTTTTTTGAGTTTCTGTTCAGCTTTTTCACTCTGGGAAATACAAATATAATAAAATAATTTTATTGAGAGTCAGGCGCTCCACTTGTCTTATTACATATATTTTCTATTTCAGTAATGTAATACTCTGTAAATAAGTACTTTTATTTTATGCACGAATTATGGGAAGATTTTAGAGCATACTATTCCAAAGTTTGTGAATCTGAGGTGACATGAGAGCTTTATCCTCTGAATACCTGATATAGAGGCCCTATAGAATCACAAAATCTGAATGATTTTCTTGATTAATTTGTACAATGTGTTGACATATATCACTGAGAAAAGTATCCATTTCAGTTATTTCTAAATAGCACCTTGTGTGGGAGAGTTCATGGAAATTTTCATTCTGTTCCATGAAAATCATTGCTCTTCCTTGCATTTTGAATGAATCTATTACTCATGATTTTATAACATCATGTCCAGTTTGAGAAAGAGAGCAGAAAGCTTCCAGGACTACCTTAAAAGAACCCTTCTCTGTTGTAGCCAGAGACAAAGACTGCTGACCCCAAACCCAAAGTTGAAACTTGCATGTGTAAGGATTCCAGCACAAACTGAAACCCAGCCTGCTCTGCTTTTTATTTTGATGAAAGGGCATTGATAAGAAGGACTGGGCCCCTGAAAATTCAGATGGAGCTAAATGCACAGACTCCCTGGGGCGCCTGGGAGGCTCAGTCGGTTAAGTGGCTGCTTTCGGCTCAGGTCATGATCCCAGGGTCCTGCGATTGAGCCCCGCATCAGGCTCCCTGCTCGGCGGGGAGCCTGCTTCTCCCTTTTCCTCTGCCTGCCTCTCTGCCTACTTGTGCTCTCTATCTCTCTGTCAAATAAATAAATAAAATCTTAAAAAAAAATAAATGCACAGACTCCCTGAAGCTGGGAGCAGAGCCAGCTTCTTGAGCATGTGACCTGTGCAGTTACACAGCCCCCCGCTCTCCCAAGGAATCCTGCCCTTGGTTTAATGCTGTGACATCACTCTTTTGAAATTAATATTAATGTTATCTTTGCACTTGTCTTGTATAAGTGAGTCCCATAGTTGGGAGGAGCACGTGCCTGAGCAGAGAGATATGTGGGGCGGCAGGACACAGGCAGGGACACATGCAGGCTCAGGCTCTGGGTCACAGCTGTGAGCTGAGCAGTTGGCGGGGCCACCTGTGGTACCTGTGCCTGCTTTGGACTAGCTGGGGCTTTGACAGGCAGCAAAGGGTGTAGTAAATATTGTCAGGAAATTACTACAAAATGAAAGTGTATACATGGACATTTCAATAAAGTGGTTTGGCAGTTTCTTACACAATTAAACATACTCTTAACTGTATGATCCAGCAGTGGCTTCCTGAGTATTTATCCAAAGGGTTTGAAAACTTACATCCACGCACACACTTGTACACAGGTGTTTTATAGCAGTTTATTCACAATCACCAAAACTCTGAAGTAAGCAGCATGTCCTTCAATAAGTGAAGGAATAAAAAAATGGTGTTACATCCAAACAATGGAATATGATTTGCTGCTAAAAAGAAAGGAGGTATGAAGCCAGGAAGAGATAGGGGAATCTTGTATGCATTTTACTAAGTGAATACAGTCCATCTGAAAGGGCTACATAGGATATGATTCCGATTCTATGACATTCTGGAAAAGGCAAAACTATGGAGGGAGGAAAAGATTGTGGTTGCCAGGGTTGAGGGGAGCAGGAGGGATGAATAGAGCACAGAGCATGTTTAGTATAGTGAACCTACACTCTCTGATAGTATAATTGTGGATACATTCCTTATGCATTTGTTCACACCCATAGAAAGTACAACAGCAAGAGTGAACCCCAGATAAACTGTGGGCTTTGGGTGACATGATGTGGCAGCATAGGCTCATCCATTGTGAAAGAGTCACGGGGAAGGTGATAGTTGGAAGGCTATTCCTGTGTGGGGGCACGAGGTACACTGGAAGCCTCAGTACATCTGCCTCATTTTTCTTTGAACCTGGTTGAGATGGTTGAAAAGAACAAAGTCTTTAAAACATTAAAATCAGAGACATGAAACTAATGTGTATGAAAAGTTAAAGCATTTTTAAAAATGGCTTCCCTAGAAACATTACCTAATGACACCTTTTCCCTCCTCAGTAATTGCATTGGAGGACATGCCATCTATTTTGATTTGGGAAAATGAAATCACTTCAAGAATAAACTCATATGGTTATATTTTCTGAGTTTGCAGCTTGATGTTTTCTCAGAATTTCTTCTCTTTCAATACTTTGCAGAATATAAGACACATAGCATTCAAATAGATTTCTTGAAGCATGTCAGATTTCTCTATGCAAACTGTCCAATATTGGGTCAAATTGTTTCCTATAGTCGAAATAGTAATAACTGATGGAAGTTACCCCCAGCTCCCTTATCATTGAGATTTGGTCCTTTACTTTTGTCACAGTCAACTTAACTGACTAATGATTCCACATTTTGATTGTTGGTATTGTCAGTCCTCTGGGAATAAATAGCAAGGTCATGGGCATGACCAAGTGGGAGGAACAGAGTCTGAGGTAAGAGACATTTGAAATATCAAATGATCTTCTCTCTCTTACTCTAATCCTTGGCTTCCATGTTCCTTTTAGAAATAGTTTTTCCTCCATAATAGACAATTGAGGATGGTAGATTTGGCAGAAAGGGAAGGTTTTCTATTTTCTTTGCTTAAGGGAGTAAATCACGATTCCTTCCTGATTTCAAACATGTACACCTGGCCCATCCTAGAATAAACAGCAATAGCATCTACCTCTTTCTAGCTTATTAACAGTGACTCAGTAGTGTGCAGAGGTAAACTCTTGGTCTCCACATTCTCACTGTGCACTTCATCCCTGAACTAAGATATAATTTGCTTGACTGATTGCTGCCTTGATGCATGTGAGTCCCTCAGAGACACAGGCTAAGAGAAGAGCATTTCCCCAGTGAGAAGACGGCAGTGCACCTGTGCTGATGCAGAACATGTGGAGGGTTCATTTTAGTGCATCTGATTGACTAGGCTATGGCAGAAGTAGGGTCTTTTTCTTATTGGCTGGTAGACAATGTGGGGAAGTACTCTGTTAGAGGAAAGAAGGGACTGCCTGATAAGAGAAGTAGCTGAGCTGGCTGGAGGTTGCAATTCTGAAGCTGATCTTAACTGGGAGGAACCATGAAGACATCCACGGGAGCTTTAATCATATTCTCGTGGCTGCAGCTGAACTGTGAGTTGAGGGTTTATGGGAACCAGACTATATTAGTGGATATTCTTCAGAAGTCAAGACTGGCTTTACTCAGGTTTCCTTCAGTTAGTGTAGAAGAAGAGAATTCTGAAGCAGACTAACCTGGAATCTCTTCTCCTTTCTCTGACCTTTTCTTTCTGCACAGGGTTCAGCCAAGGAGAGAAGGTGGAGCAGCATCCTTCTACCCTGAGTGTGCAGCAGGGAAGCAGCTCTGTTATCAACTGCAGTTATTCAGACAGTCGTTCAGACTACTTCCCTTGGTATAAGCAAGAGCTTGGAAAAGGTCCCCAGCTCCTTATAGACATTCGTTCAAGCACGGCCACCAAAGAAGACCAAAGACTCACTGTTTTATTGAATAAGACAGCCAAACATCTCTCCCTGCACATCGCAGACACCCAGCCTGAAGACTCAGCTGTGTACTTCTGTGCAGCAAGCACACATTGCTTCCCAGGCACCTGCTGCCTGCACTCAAACCTGGGTGTGGGGCAGCCCCCTGTCCTTTGACAAAGACCTTCAAGTATAGCTTTTGTGCTGTTGTTTGTCTGCAAGTGGAAGCTAATGTGTTAGACATTAAAGGCATATAATAAGACTATTAGGATGGAGATGACCCAGACAGGGTTAGAACATTTTGTTGGACGACTGTTGTTTAATGGATTCTTGAATGGAGCTAGTAATGTTTTATTTTGAAATTAAGGTTTTAAAGAACTATACATTTGCCATTGAGACTACTGTCCTATAAATAACCCCTTAGTACCAATGTACAGTCCTTTTTATGGATGAGCACTTAAATATTGTGTTTCAAAAGTAGCATTTTTAATTTTTGTGATCTAAAATATTACATGCCAAATATAGAAATATGAAAAGTACAAATATGAATGTGATAATTCTGTAATATATAATGTTGTTAACATTCTTTTGGTCTCTAGCTATTTTTATTATAATCAGATTCATGAATTTTTCACTTTATGGATTTCAATTTGAGCATTCCCCATTCCAATTCTTTATGTCAAACTTCAGCATTGTTTTAATTTCATGTTTAAGTTTTCATTTAATTAGTGCATTATAATACCTTTGTGAGGTATTTAATTAAATAGAATTTCATTTAATTTGGTTACTCTGTATTTCAGGCAAAATCTGACCACCATTTCTATGTGCTTTGATCACTTTCTTGCTCAGGAATTAGGTCACAGGTTTTCCTTTGGAGCCCAGGGATGGTATGTACTATTTGTGTGTTTGAGGGAAATTAAGATAGGGAGTGATTTGACAATATGAGCTTCAGATAAAACTCAGAAATCTATTCTCATTTATAAAATTCTGTATCTGTTCATAATAACTCTCTCATAAAACTTAGGAGACAGAATTTTGTATTTCATTCATTTCTATACTTTCAGTACCTAGGAAAACTTTTCCACATAATTGGTTATCAGTCGATGTTAACGAAAGAAGGAAAGGACAATTCTGTTACTGACTCATAATTTTAATTTAAGCTTTCTGTTTGAATTATATTTATAAATTGATTTGTGAAAAATTAAAGTCCTTAAAGTATATATGTGATTATTTAATTGTTTGAGAACATAGTGCTTCTTTCCATTTTTATGTCTCTTTTTATTAATGATGCTCTGCTGTTAGAAGGTTTTTCAATTTATTCTTGGACTTGTAATTTTGTTATCATTGTAATGAAAAACTTTCTTTCTGAGGTATATAGAAAAACTTTTATAAGCATATATCAGCCACCTTATATTATTAGTAGATTGCACAAAGGCATTTGGACTAATGGCTAACATAGAGATGAGGTTCTACCAACCTCCCTCCACATGTTCATGTATGACTGAATTAAACATTATTAACCACAACCTTTATTTTAGAAAATTATTTCTCTAGTGCTGCGGAGAAATCAATGGAATGAAACAAATTGAGTAAATATTTAATTCCCTCATTCTCCCACCCCTGCTGAAGGGTAGGCTCCTTTCAAGGTCCCTCCAAGTCTTCTTAACTAACGATGGATATAATTGGCAATTGGTAGGGTGACAGTGCTTCCTCTTAGCTGAGTTATGATCGCTGGGTATTTGGTAACTGGCTTTCTCTTACTGGGAAGTCCTCAGATCAAATTCAGTTTATCACATCTAACCAAAGGTGGTTAGAACTGTAGCCCAATATGTCAATGGGCTTGATTCTTTCCCTCCTTGTACCACTAGCTCCTGTACTGTAGAAGGAAGATGACTCTTGATTGGTCCATTTCCCCCAAGCCTGATTATGGAGTCAGAAGGAAACATGTTTCTCTATTATAAGTTTATTTCTTCTTAAATCAATTAGAAGTGAGAGAGAAGGTGCAGTTCCTACAGGTTTGAATGCTTGATCATACTTAGATGAGAATTGATGCAGTGGAAGAAAACAAGTGTTTTAGCCAGAGTGTGCAGTGAGTACATAGCTTTGATCCAGACACATTCAGGATTTCACCATGATTGGCAAGCCATCTCCAGTGGCTCATGGGCAGATTCCTTATGGAGTCTGTGCCAATGTTTGTAGGGTCCATGTTGGTTTACTGCCCTCCAAGAGCCCTGGGTGCTGTTCTGCTAGGTGCACCCCACTCCCCAGGGGGCGGTACACCTCAGTATTCTGGATGTGGGCTAGAAAGAGCGTTCTCTTTGGCAGCATCCTCCAGAGCTTGGGGAGCCATGTGCTTACTCACATGTTCTCACTTCCCTCCACGAGGAAATCACAGGCTGGAAGGTTTCTCTTGGCTCGGAGTTGTGCCACTTGGGCAGGGGTGAGGAGGGTAAAGTGAAATTGTTCTTCATGCCCTCCTCAATCTATCCAATCTCAGATTTGTTTTGTTCCACGGTGTGCTGTGTCTTTTCTGCTGGACTTCTTCACAGGCACTTTCTTTAGTTTAGTGTAAGATTATGAAGATCAGTGGATTTTTTGGGGGGGTGGATATGGTAGAAAATTCCTATTTTGCCATTTTTATCTCAGTGTTGAAATCTTTTTAAGATTTTATTTATTTATTTCAGAGCAAGGGAGAGAGAGGGAGAGAGAGAGAGAGGGAGAGCACAAGAGCTAGGGGGAGGGGTAGAGGGAGAGGGAGAAGTGGGCTCCCTGATGAGCAGGGAGCCAATGTGGGGTTCAATCCCGGATCTGGGATTATGACCTAAGTCAAAGGCAGACACTTATCCAACTGAGCCACCCAGGTGCCCCTAAATTTTTAATTTTAAAAGAATTATATGGAAAAGTGACTGTTTTTGGTGTACAGGTCTGTGAATTTTGAATTTTAGTGCATTGTATACGTCCTGTAACCATCTTAAGATCGTGGTACAAAATAGTTTAATTGCTCCCCCAAAGTCCTTTGTGCTATTCTTTTGCCATTACACACTTCCATATTCCCAAATCCTTGCAAATATTGGTCTATTCTTATTTTTGTGTTTTTAAGAATGTCATATTGATGAGAGAATACAACCCGTAAGCTTTTGAGAACCATGTGTCTTGGTGGGTGGAAGCACATGCCATAGGGCACATGGATGACCCCACCTCTGTCTCCACTCTCAGTGTTTCTTACCCCTGAGGTTTTGAAATTTGAAGTTATTTTCATAGGAAAAGCTCATCATTTGAAGTGTTTGAATTCCTTTAGAGACTTGATATATAGTTCTACAGAATATATTTGGCAATTGATAATGGAGAGGTGGTGTTGAAAGTTGGATCAACTCATAATCAAGTTGAGTCATGTTCTGTACACAAGTTTAGTTGTACAAACTCCATTATAAATTTTTATCAACAGATACTTTCTCAGGTTTCAAGGGTAATTTAATTGATGAAGATTCACTGTAGCAGCACTAATTAGGGTATAGTTATTACCTCTTTTTTCCAGGAGTAGATATGAAATAACATATCCAATAATTCTTAAACATTTTTGCACTAGCAGTGTCTGTGGAGAGCTGAACTATAGCACTAGGGTAGGTATTGTGTCTATTAAAGTATATACCCATGCAAGTTATTTTATTAGTGAGAGAACAATTCAGGATAACCAGAAATACCTAACATTTTACCATTAAAATGAGAAAATACCTCTAAAAGGATAAAAATAACCTCAGTAGAATGCAGAAGAAAGTATTAAAATCGGTGGTTCCATACCTATAGGAGAATTCTCTTCTAATCGCCTTAGATGGAGCTGTCTGTCATGCAGTTACATGTTTTTTTCTAGGATATTGCATGTACACTCATCTGTGGACTGTCTGCTTCTGCTGATTCTCCAGAGAACTTCAGTTTAAGATCTTTAATATGAGTAACTTTTTCAATTCTTGTCAGTGAAGGATGCATAACGTCACACCGGTTGATAAACATGAAACCAAGGATCCATTTCTTGTACTTTATCTGCCAAACTGGTAATAAGTTGTACATATAAGGTCATTTCATACATCTCAATGGCAATCTTGTTCTGAGACTTTGTTCAGAGCACCAAAGGTTTGGGTCATGTAATGGTGATTAAATGAATGGCCCCAGAGTAGCCTGTACCTGGGATGAAAGGAAGAGTGTCAAGGGTTTACTTATCTAGTTCAGTTTGTGAAGGTTGGAATACGTATGGGTTGGGACATCCGAGTTATGTGGGCCACAGTGAACAGTTCATAATGAGACAGCCTAGGACTTTGTAAGGGAAGGATGCAGGGCCACAGGGGCTAAGGCTGTACCAGGCCACAGTAGTTCAAGGATAACTGCTATAATAACTCATTTCAGTTTTAATATTTTATTTGTTGTTTCCACTTTTTCACAGGATTGGTGTATGACAGGAGAAGTGAACTTTCTGTGTGAGGCCTAACCTTACCTAACTTTCCCAGAGAAATTTGCTCTGCTATCTAAAGGGTATTTGAAATAGCATAGGAATTAAACACAAAATCCAATTGATATTTAACTCTTGTGATTGCTGTGGTTTTCTGACAGGAGAGTGGCTCAATCCATGTAGAAAATAAAATACTATTACCCGTCCATACTCACAGCTCATGAAGGGAATGCAACTGTGTAAGATCCTTTTGGAGATACTCAAATGTTTCCTTAGGACAGTATTTCAGAGCATATTCTACCTTCCAGATTTTATGGGATTTCATGGACTCCGAGAGAGGCATGGATAGCGCCATTGTCTGCCATCCTAGGAAATTCTCCCCACTAGTGTTTGTTTAATGTTGCATACAGTGTATTCCCAGTGTGAATTGTTATCTCTGGTGGATTATAGCAAGTACTCAGTAGAGATCATTTGGCTGCAGCCGGCAGCTGTCTTGGCTTTGGTGTATCTTGTTCTCATGGATCAAGCAAATCAACCATTCATAGTGATTCTTTACAAAATTTAGTGCCAAATTTTCTGCAACCAAGATGGAATTAATTGAACTTTTTCATGGTTTTGTCTTTATGTTTTTAAAGAAGTGCTTACATAAGGATCATCATTGGAATTCATGTTTACGATGACCTGCTCAAGTATTTTTTTCTTAGCTTCTACAGTGTCCTCTTAAATCTGAGACTTTTTTTTGACAAAATTTTTTAAAATTTCGTGAATACATCAAATAATTAATTTATTTACTGTGCCTTCCTAATAGAATGCAGGAGATACATGAAAGGGTTAAGAAAAGTTAGAATGTTAAGAAACCTCATTGTCTTTACAGTATTTGGAAGCTGTGACCTACCTTAAAAACACTCACTGACAACAACCACATGATTTTTTGTAAATTGACATATCCAATAGATATTCATTAGTTCAGCTACTTGATTTAATGATGCTTCTCAAGGGATTAGATTTTATAAAGGGGTCTGGAGTAGTAATTGCATGACCAGTATGGTATTGTCCCTTTCGGGGTTTTAAGGACCCTGGCCAACATGCACACATTTCCGTCCCTGTCCACCAGGGGGTGCAGCTTCCTACCACAATCACATTTTCTGTGTGAAATGTGGGCTTCCACTGATCATTTCTCTGTCCCTCCAACGTTTCTTCATGGTAAGAATGAAGAATATCATTTAGGTGATGCTCCAGAGATGAAGTGTTCTCCAGGCTTCGTGACTGTGATACTCTTAATGCTTGGTAAGTAAAATTCTTCTTAAAATTTGGGTTCTTTTTTCTTTTGTATTAGCAAAACCTTCAACTATAATTTATCCAAGAGCTTTATGCCCAAGGTGACACAGGACTCTTTTCTTTTTCCTCAGGACAAACCCATGGAGACTCGGTGACCCAGACGGAGGGCCAAGTGACCCTCTCAGAAAAGGGTTTCCTGATGGTGAACTGTACTTATTCAGGATCAGGGTATCCTGCCCTTTACTGGTATGTCCAGTATCCAGGAGAAGGTCCACAGCTCCTCCTTAGTGCCTTGACGGATAAGGAGAAAGGAAGCAAGAAAGGATTTGAAGCCACTTATGACAGAGATTACAAATCCTTCCACTTGGAGAAAGGCTCAGTGCAAGCGTCAGATTCAGCTGTGTACTATTGTGCCATGAATGACACAGTGACGGGGACTGCAGGGGGAGCTGAGCACAAACTCTGAGCAGAGCAGGGGCTTGGATGCTGAGCGTCTCTGCCTGATCCACTCCGGTGGACAGGTGCACAGTCTGTGGTTGTTTGTCCCTCAGTGTCTGCTTGATACAAAATCGTACAAACGACTAGAGCATAGGAACCAGAAGTAACATCCCCCAACCCCAGCTGTTCCTTAGTGACGTTGAGAACAGTTTGATGCCAAGAGTTCCTCGGTCAGGGCATAAGTAATTTCAAGGTAAAACCACATAACAGTGAAGTGGTGTCTTGCTCATCCTTGCAGGAAACGTGGAGCCCCACAAGTTGTTCAGGGCACCCTGGTGGGTATTGCTGTGTCTATGACACGTTTAGAGACACACGGTGTGCCTGAGAAGGTGGTGATGCCCAGGGTCTTCCTGACAGAGTATGACAGGAGAGGTGATGGGAGAGCTTCAGCCCCAAACCAGGTTTTAGTAGAGAGAGAAGGGAAGGGAAGAAAGGAGGAGGAACACAAGTACCCGAACAAGGAAAGGAGAGGCCAGTGACCTCTGCCCTGCTTTCTTTTCTAGTAAATCAGGTGGCAGACTTAGGAAGTACCCGAACATGGAAAGGAGAGACCTTTGCCCTGGTTTCTTTTCTAGTGAATCAGGTGGCGACTCAGGCTGATATTCAACATGAAGGGGTGTGGGCAGAAACAGAATGGAGGAAGTGGCTCATGTCCTGGCCAGTTAAATAAATCAGTTGGCTTTCTGACAGTAGGAACTCAAGTGAGGTTGTTTGAAAGTGCCCAGGAAATACGGTGAGAGAAAATGCTCTTGCACTGATGTTTCCTAACGATATAGACCGATAGGTGACACTGGGAGGGAAATCCTATAGATTTCTCTAATTCCTGTTTTGCAACCTCTCACAGAGAGCCACAAATCATGGGACTGGAGAATGTATGGGAGTCAGTGAAGTTGTGCAAAAAATAATAGAAAAAGCAATGTCTGTGTTGCAGTGCAAGACTTTGTTAATGTTGTTGCAATCTTAATTACCATCTCATCTGCATATTTTATGAATGAGTTATGATCAGAATATTAATACATTCCCTTATATATTTGTTATATATTCTTGGTTAGTTAATTTTTTATTTAATTGGTTTTAAATGTAAATTTTATTTTCAAACCTGTGTAAATATAAATGCATGTGAATATATACTTTAAAGTATTCAAAGGGTATATAATAAGAGTTTTTTCAGACTTTTGGATGAACACGGTAGACTAGGGGTGTCTGGCTGGCTCTGTGGTTTGAGCTGAAATTCTGGTTCTCCGGGTTGTAAGTTCGAGCCCATGTTGGGTAGAGATTACTTAAAATTAGATCTCTAAAAAAGGACAAACTCATGGTAGATTAATAATACATGTTTATCTCTTGAGTTCTCTAATACTCTTTTTTAAATAAACATTTTATTTATTTATTTGAAGGAGAGAGTGCATGAGCACAAGTAGAGGGAGAAGAAGCGGAAGGGAGAAGCAGACTTCCCACTGAGCAGTGAGCCCAATAGGAGGCTGGATCCCAGGACACTGAGGTCATGATCTGAGCTGAACTCAGAAGCTTAACTGAATGAGCCACTCAAGCCCCTCTAATACTCTTTTAGAACTTTGGTAAAGACATCCCAAAGGGTAGAAAGCCATAAACAGAAAGAGAAACAGGAAAGAACCTATTATCAGATAGTGACACCAACCAGTTTTAGAAAATAGGCTGTATATGGATAGGGGCAAACTCGCATGAAAGTCTAGATAAGTGGAAACCCCGGCCTAGTGTGGAAGCAGCTCAGTGTGTGCTGTGCCCTCTACAAAGGTTCAGGGAAAAGAAGTACCACATGCTTTTGGATAATTGAAGAAGATGGCATTGCCCACGTTGGTGCACACATGTGTGTGCCCAGGTGTGCATGTGTGTGTGTGTGTGTTGAAGGTATTGGGGTGGAAGGAAGGATATAAGTAGACCGAGTGGTCACCTCCATTGCTCAGAACTGAGCAAACGAAGCGTGGAAGCTTACTGTGGTTCAGCTGCGGTAAGAGAAAAATATAAATTCAAAGGATTGATAACTTAATGACCAAACTCTGGTGTCTATTCTGGCCTTTCTGAACAGAGTTGAGCTGTGGGAATGAAACAGTGAGAAAGAGACCTCAGTGACAGGATCTATTATTGTCTGAGGGTTGTAGCCTGAACTCTTCAGCAAAGAGTGATTAGATTTTTCTGCTTTTGGCCCCAAGATAGGCATCTGAACAGACATTAATAGTGAGGAGGAACACTGGCATAACAATAGGTACATTGAAGAGCTACTGTGATTAGTCTAAACACTTTGTCTTCTTATCACAACGTGATTTATTTCTACTTTAGGTAAATCACATAGTGTGATCATACATGACTCTCACACCTTTTTTCCTCATAATTCTTACATTTTATGTTGTTTACATAATTAATTATAAGCAGTTTTTAGAAATTATGGAATGCTTCAGGAATTTGCATGTCATTCTTACACACGGGCCTCTGTATCATTCTAATTTTAGTATATGTGCTGCCAAGGCGGGCCCCACCTGTCATATTTATAGTAAGTGCCATGCACCCACTTTTATCACAGATGCAATGAAGAAGCATATCACGGTTAGCTAAACCATCGATCTGCAATCCTCATTTCAATATAAATTTTACTCATGCCTATTTTCAGATATGTTTTCAATTAAAGTTGGTTAATACCCAGTGGGTGCTGTATGCAACTGATGAATTGTTGAACACTACATCTGAAACTAGTGACATACTATGTGTTGGCTAATTGAATTGAATTTATTTTATTTATTTTTTTTAAAATTTTATTTATTTATTTGACAGACAGAGACAGCGAGAGAGGGAACACAAGCAGGGGGAGTGGGAGAGGGAGAAGCAGGCTTCCCGCCGAGCAGAGAGCCCGATGCGGGGCTCGATCCCAGGACCCTGGGATCATGACCTGAGACAAAGGCAGACGCTTAACGATTGAGCCACCCAGGTGCCCCAGCTAATTGAATTGAGATTTTTAAAAAAGATGCTTAATCCAAAGGATGTGGGGTAGTGAGACTCTCAGCTGGAACATAGAGAATTATGACAGGACCCACACAACTTGCTACACCAGGAAACCCCTGTTTCCTGCTCTGGAGCCACGGCAGCATGTACCCAGCAATCCTTCCCTCACCCTGTCAGGCTTTCCTTAAAGTGCCAAACCCTGAAATTAAAGAAGAAGAAGAAGACATTTTCCATCTAGTGGGAGAACTCAAACGTGTTGCTCTGCAACCTTCTCAAGGTGGTTATGGCTTCCATGTGGCTAAGGATGGTCCCTGTGGGAATGTGCCTCCTCTATGACCTAAAGTCAAGAGAGATAGGCAAGATCTCGTGGATACCTTGGAAAAATGGGATGACAGTGTGTAAAAGAGAAGTTCTTTGTGCCACATCATGTATTCCCAAAGTCTCTGATTCCATGTTTTCTCCTTCAGGATCCAGTATTGCCCAGAAGGTAACTCAAGCCCAACCCGCAATGTTAGTGCAGGAGAAGGGGGCTGTCACTCTGGAATGCACATATATAACACCAGTGACCCAAGTTATAGTCTATTGTGGTACAAGCAGCCCAGCAGTGGGGGCGATGATTTTCCTTATTCGTCAGGATTCTTACAGCCAGCAAAATGCCACAGAAGGTCGCTACTCACTGAATTTCCAGAACACAAGAAAATCCATCCAACTTGTCATCTCAGCTTCAGAGCTGGAGGACTCCGCAGTGTATTTCTGTGCACCGAGGGAGCCTACAGTGAGAGGCATGACGGAGGGAGTTGTACCCAAACCCCAGGGCTCTTCCTGATGCATCTCCCTGCTGTAGGGCCCAAGGCAGGGAATTGCTGTCCCCGACAGGAAGTGGTTAGTGTTGAGGCAACACAGGTTCAGGCTTAGAGGGAAAACCTCACTCTAAGAAAATACCTCTCCAGGTAAGAGTTATTGTGCATCAAACACTTCCTCATCCCTGAAAATTTGTGTTGAAATTGTTTATTGAAAACTAGAATAGCCACAATAAACAATTTGCCATTTTGCAATTAGATTCAGCTAGAAGAATTGGCTAAGGAAGTTTAGAAAGATTTGACTCAAAGTCAGGAATAATGTGTGTGAATTGTTAGATTTTTCAGATCAGTTTGTTCAGTAAATATTTATTGAGCATATATTATGTTACAGGCATTGTTAGAATAAGGAAGGCCATGAAATGTCTCTGTGGTTTTCCTTTTTGTTGTTGTTTTATATCATCCAGCTCTGTGTTCTAAACTATTAGTTTTGCTGTGAACTTTCTGGATAGTTTTGAGCTTTGTTTCATTATTGGTAAAATGGGAGAGTGGTATCTTCTTTAGTATTTTGTTGTGACAATTTATCGATAACATACCCAGAGAGATTGACAAGTAGCAGATGAGCAGTTTAGGAGGGTAATTTTAATAGGTCCAGAAAAAGCATTTGACAAAATTCAGATCCATGCCTGATTAAAACTCCCAGCAAATTACATAGAATTGAAGGGAATTTCCTCATCTTAAAAAAGGGCTTTACAAAAAGTCTATATCTGCTGTGCCTGGGTGGCTCAGTCGTTAAGCGTCTGCCTTCAGCTCAGGTCATGATCTCAGGGTCCTGGGATCGAGCCCCACATCGGGCTCCCTGCTCCGTGGGAGACCTGTTTCTCCTTCTCCCACGCCCCCTGCTTGTGTTCCCTCTCTTGCTGTGTCTCTCTCTCTGTCAAATAAATAAATAGAATCTTTAAAAAAAAAAAGTCTACATCAAATGTCATACTTGATGGTGAAAGCTTAATTGCTTTCTCCTTAGTTTGGGAAATAAGGGAAGAGTTTTGGCTCTCGCCAGTTGTATTTAATATTGAAGTAGAGGTTTGAGCCAATGTGATAAGGCAAGTAGAAGAAACAAAAGCCATACAGTTTGGAAAGGAAGAAGTGAACTTATCTTTATTAACAGAGAGCATATTTGTCTGAGCAGAGAAGGCAAAGGAATTTACAAAAAAAAAAAAAGCTACTAGAACAAATTGTTTTAAGAAAGTCAGATGTACACCTACCATATGATCCAGCCATTCTACTCCCAGATACGGACCCAAGAGAAATGAAAACATATGTCTATAAATTATCTTATATGCAAATGTTCATAGCAGCTTTATTTGTGAGAGCCCTACTGGGACGAATCGATATGGGCATCAACAGGTGAATAGACAAACTGTTTTATAGCCACATGATGGGATACTATTCAGCAACAAAAAGAAACAATGTCTTAATAATTATGACAATGGAAGAATCTCAAATAATTATGCTGAGAAGAAGCCAGACAAAAGAGTACATATGATTCCATAATTCAAAATTATAAATTATGCAAACTCATTCATGACAGAAGTGTTCCCTGGAAATGAGAGTAATGAGGGTTGAAAGAAGGGCTGCAAAGAGACATGAGGAAACTTTTGGGGTGATGCATATGTTTATTATCTCGATGGTGGTGAGGGCTTCACAAATATATACATATGTCAAATTATATAGAATTGTCTAATTTGGTGCAGTTTATTTTTGTGTAAAATGTGCATTAATAAAAGCCATTAACTATCCATATTTACTATGCAGTATCTTCCCTCAATGACGTGCAAGTCCTCTGTGTGACCCAAAGAGCAAAATATTTCTCCTGTAGGCTTTCATTGACCTGAATGTATTTTTTTTAAAGTTACAATGACTTTCTGCAACCATATGCTATGCTGTTTATTTTCTTTTTTCAAAGATTTTCTTTCTTTCTTTCTTTCTTTCTTTCTTTCTTTCTTTCTTTCTTTCTTTCTTT